TCTTCTGGTCTCAGGATAGATGAGGCCATGGTTCATGTGAGCTATTAATCCTGTAGACTGGTTTCTTCTTTGAGTCTTTGGTTTCCTTCTTTCTCTTTTGCTTCAGACAAGTACAGGCCAGTAGTTGTATCTTAGATGGCCGCTCAAAAGTTTTTAAGACCCCAGACGCTACTCATCAATTTAGGATGTCAGTATCTTTACAAACTATGCTATGCCTATTGACTGAGTTGTCCTCTGAGACTTGAAACCCAGTAAAACAAACCCGTGAGGAGAATGCATTACTTTTATAGTCAGAGTAATCAATAAAGCACTTTCATCTTAAAAAAAATTATACATACACAGTATTTCAAAATAATACTAACAATTTTAACATTTCAATAGGAATACCGCCAGAGTATGAATACAGGCAATCGACATCAGAAAATATCTAAATGGTTAATAAATAAAAGACTATACTTAATTTCACAAGTAATCAAAATTACTTAAAAAAACAAGGTAACAGTTTGCTCTATTTAATAAACAAAAGTATTAAAAACAATTCAGAGTGGGCAAGGGTGTTAGGCACATATTCTCAAGAACTGCTTATGGAAATATAAATTGTAAATACCCTCCTGGAAAGCAGCTAGACAATGTGCTCAAATGTCTTAGAATTCTACTAGTCCTTGATCCAGCAATTCAATTCCAAGAAATTTAAACTAAGAAAATAATCTTCAAAGATATAGCTGTTGTTGTTGTTAGCTGCCATCCAGGCAGCATCCCCACGGGGGTGCTATGCACAAGAGGATTGGACACCATGATCCACAGGGTTTTCATTGACTGATTTTTCATAAGCAGATAGCCAGGCCTTTCTTCCTAGCCTATGCTAGTCTGGAAGCTCCACTGAAACTTATTCAGCATCATAACAACACGCAAGCCCCTACTGACAGCCCCCGCTGACAAACAGGTGGTGGCTGTGCATGACGTGCATTGGGTGGGAATGAACTCTGGTCTCCCACGTGGGAGGCAAGAATTCTGCCACTGAATCACCATAAAGATATAGGTACAAGGATATTAATGGAACAACAACAGCAAACTTGAAATAACACAAATATCTAACAATAGAAGTTTAGTTAAATAAATTTAAATAAACCAGTTTAATTTAGTTAAATAAGTTTAACTAAAAATTAATTAAATGCCATGGAATTCAATGAAGTCATTAAAAACACTATCAAGGAAGAATATTTATGGACAAATTCAAATGTTGAAGAAACATTCTTAAAGGGGGAAAAACAAAATAGATTACAACAGGTATCTGGAATATAAGGAATCCTGGTGGCACAAGTGGTTAAGCACTCAGCTGCTAACCAGAAGGTGGGCAGTTGGAACCCACCAGCCAGTCTGCAGGAGAAAGATGTGGCAACCTACTTCTATAAAGATTTACAGCCTTGGAAAACTTTTGGGGCAGTTCTACTCTGTCCTGCAGGGTCACTATGAATTGGAATCACTCAATGCCAATGGATTTACCTGTAACATTTCATTTTGTTAAAACGAGAGAGACAAGTGATTGACTAAGGGATTTAAGTGATTAACTACATGGCTGTTAAACGATGTTTAATAAAATGTTAACCACTTGTTCTGTATGATTGCATTAAAGGCATTTTTCTTTTTTTTACTTTTTCTGTATTTTTAAAAACTTGTAAATGGAACGTGAATTCTTTTTGTAAAATATTTACTTGAAAAAAAGGATCTATTGGCTTGTCAGTGGCTGGAATCCCGCCCGTACCCTTCTGCACTGTCTTAGAATCTTCACTTAGTTCTCACCTTCTCATCAAGGCCTGCCTGGTGGCGCCCCCTACCTCCCATACTCGCCCCAGATCCGCCCCCCTCTTGTTTTTTCCCATAATATCTATCTTATAAGAAGCTATATAATTATGTTTCTTGGTACTGTGTGCTCTTCACTCCCAGGAAAGTTCTCAAGGGCAATGATTTTATTGTTCGCGGATGTATTTCAAAGATGTATTTCAAAACGCCTGCCCAGCGCATGGTTTAGAGCTACGGCTGCTAACCCAAACAAAGGTCCAATTCACCAGTCTCTCCTTGGAAATCCTATGGAGCAGTTCTGCTCTGTCCTATAGTTCGCTA